AGATGCAAGGAAATGCAGGAAGTTCAGGAACTCGTCGCCCCACAGGTCACCGAGTTCCATAAGGAACTCATGGCACTCCTCCGGCGACACATTATCTTCTTCGAAATCAATATTCTCCTCCTCACCGGGCGGATCACCAACCTCGACTTCAACCTCGTCATCGACGAGGCTGTCTACCTCGTCGAGGACACCATCCTCGTCGAGGACACCATCCTCGTCGAGGTTGATGCTCCCCTCGGCAAGGCTGATTACTTCCTCCTCCTCCTCGTGTTCTTCGGCGAGGATATCATCCGGAGTAACAAATTTTAGTTTTTTTGATGGGGGCTCGTATTGCCTCATTTTTTTGTACTAAAAAAATTTTTTTCACATGCACTGAATCACAGAAAATGTGTAAAAGTATTCTACCATTTAATGGTAGAATACTCTTACATATTTTACACAAATTACTCGCGTATAATCCGACACGAACTTTAAGCAAACGAAAATCGGACAAACGTGTACGTACGAACGTGTACGTACACTTTCGTACGTATGTATGTATGTATATATGAGATGCCACCACAATATATGTAGGCAGTGTATATAGGATGTGTATAACTTCTTTGTTTTATTCAATCGTAAGCTTCAGTTAGGTGTGTTAAGAAATGGACCGAGTAAAAAAAAAATATATATACGTATATATATATGTATGTATGTATATCTGAATGTATGTATGTATATACGTATGTATGTGTTTATGTAGATATGTTTGTATGCATGTATGTATTAGGGGTATAAATAAGTTTCCGCCGTTTGGCAAAAGATGGTGCCAGCAGTATGTTATGGTTGAAATTGTCTGCTGTAGAACGTCATATTGTAGGATTGGACATCTGGTTACAACATAACCTTCAAATATTAGCGATTTTGTATCAGCATCATATATCTTTTTTCGTGCGAAAATGTCGAGTTTTTAGCCGAATAAACGTCATTTGCGGGAGCTTTTGATTTACTTCTTTAATTAAATATATATATTTTTTTTTTAATTAAAAATAAAGAAGGAGCAATGGGGAATACGGCGGG